GATACTAGGGTGTAGCGGGGGTCATCCACCTCCACTTTTTACCTTCCCTTAGGCACTGGGAACCCTGACTTCTTCTCGGGGTTGCTCTAACACTTGAGGTTTTTGCTTGGCTAGTCAACCAGGAAATATGTTGATGGTTCCAGACACCTTCCTAGGGCAGGGCAGAGCAGGGTGGGCGGTGACTTACAAGCTTGTGGCTGCCCATGGCAAAGAGACTTCTGGATAGTGGGAACTGTTGGGGGCTGCCTGGTGAATAGGAATACCTATCAATCTCATGGCACAAAGTTAAAACACAGTTTTATTTGCTTGTTTATAAATACTGTTGTGTTTACAGGCATCATACAGATGTGAATATTATTCCCAAACTTTGAAACACAGAATACTTAATACCATATAATAACAACCAGCAAAACAAATCCATCCATGTCAGGGTTGAAAGGCCACTCAAAGTTGCATAAAAGTACATTCAGTTCACAAAGCCAGTCTGGCTCCCCCCACCTCAGGAAACCTCCTCCAGGTGTATTTACAGGTGACTGAAGTTAATCCACACGACTCAGCTAGAAAACAGCTCCGTTCGGTGCACTAGGTGTGGGTGGAGAGAAATGCTGGTGCTCAAGGGGTGATCAGGAGGGGGCAAAGGAAACATGGACAGAAGGAACCTGAAGCCAAAGCTGAGCTCTGAACCATCGCCCGCCCCTTCTCGGAAATCACCGCCATGCCCAGGGCTCAGGGGATGATGATGGTATGTACGTGCATTCTCAGTTTTCTCCTGACCCACCTCTGGTGCCCTTACCTACAGTTGCTTTGCACTAGTCTGCTCGAGGTTGGAGAGCAGGGTTGAGGACAGCACAGATATGCACTTGGGAGAGAATCACACTGGTGCTGGCCCCAACTGTCCCTGTTCAGGATCCTGCTCTAATCTCCTCCTCACGGCCCAGCCTTTTCTCCACCTCCTCTCCTGTGTGGCTGTCACCTACTGCACAGACAAACTAGCTCAGCCTGTTTTGGGAAGACACTTGTGCCTTACATGGGGAAATGTCTAGACCTATATGTCAAACCTCGTCTCTGAGGGGCTTTGAAATGGAGTAGGGGCTGGCCGGGGGCAATGACACGCTGCTGGTGTTTGAAAATCCTCCAGGACTCTGGGCTGATTAATGGGAAACCTCTTCCCTCAGGCACCGTTATGTCCAAGTGTAGATGCAGGGCCTGAGGAGTGTGGGGGAGAGGGGAGGGAAGGAGACGGAAGGAAGCGTAGACTTATTTGGAAGGACCTACACTAGCATCCTGATGACACCTTACGGGCCACCCAAGTTAATTTTTATTGGAAGCATTAGGGGAAAATTTAGAGGCAAAATAACAAAATGTCATTCTGGCAGATTCCCAAGCTGGGAGACAAGCAGATGTGTGGGAGAGAGAAGTCCTCGGGGAAGCCGGTGTAGGAAGAGTAAAAGAGACAGCTACACATGGGTAAAACTGGTTTCTGAGTTGTCATTTCTAATCATGAAAATGCTAGACCTTTTCTTTTGAAAGACCCAGCCTGGCATGTGTGCTGTGTGTACACATGTGTGTTTGTTCCCAGGCTGAAGAGACCTTCACACTGCCAAGTCTTAAGAGGTAAGCGTCAGTACCACAGGCGTTAGAAGTTCCTTCCTTTACCATCGCGCTAGTGGGCATCCAGGCACACACACCTCAGGACAACTGTGACCCTTACCCACCACTCTCAAAGAGACGTAGATACAACTTTCAGCTGCCCTCTGGTTGGCTGGGAGGCCAGGTGTTCTTCCTCAGCCCTCAGAGACCACTTCATTCCTTTCTAGCTGTGACAATGACAGCTCCTGGGCTATAATGAAGTTGATCTATTTTTCCAATCTAATCAGAACAAAAGCAATCAATAGTTGTCCCTGATAGAGTCCACTGCTCTGAGCAGTGTCGATACCCATTAGGAAGGCTGATTAAAATCTCCACTCAGCCTTAGCTGAGGGATGAACCAATGAGACAGAACGCACTTCCAGGTGTGGAAGTCTGGCGCCCTTTCCCCCAGCGCCTGCAGCCCCCATCGTGTCCCGGTGCACAGACCTTGTCCTCTGCCTTTGCCCATCACAGCATGCAGGCATCCTCTTACGACACAGGGTTTGGCCCTTTCCTCACATCCAAGCCCGGACTGTAGGAGTCTGGCCAGAGGTGGGCACCATTCTATGCTAGGCCATTTGTGGGGTCTGTAAACACCTACAGAAGCAGCAGCAGCTATTGATGCCAGTTTGAGAGGGGTTCAGAAACCTGCCCCCACTCTTCCAGAGGCTCAAAGGCCTCCTGAGAGCTTAGTGCTCAGATGAGGTGGCTGAGGTCTTCACTATGGAACGCTCTCTCGCTGCAGCTAAGTATGCTGCTTGGACACCGAGTGGCAGTGCTGGTCACATCTGGGAGAACCCAGCAGCAACACCTCGGCCGGTTGGGAATATTTTTACTGAGGGAAAGCAATCATGACACCATTCAATTACTCTCAATGTTAAATTCACTTTCTAACGAGGATGAGGGTCAGCCTCGACACCCTGATCTTAGCTTGAATTTGAAAAGCAGCAGAAATGTAAATGTCAACAATGTTCTGTGATGAATTTTAAGCACAATGGGACCTTAGCAGATCATCTTGCCCAAGGGTTCCAGCTATAGAAGTTGGTCCTGGACTCCTGTGTGCACCTTACCCTGCCCTCAGAGCCACCTCACTTCCTGGGACACACTGAGGGTTTGCACCTAGCCTTCAGAACAGATCGGCAACTGAGATGTAGCTATAATTAGGCATGGGTCTGGGCAGGCCACCTCTAAAAGGCATGTGACCTTGCGGTCCTGAGGGAGGACAGGAGGGGAGGCTGCCGTGAGCACCGAAGCTCACGGGGCGGGGGGGTGGGGTGGGGGGGAGGAGCAGTCCCCAACCGCGCTGCTGGCCTACCTGCATTAGGCGGCCTTCCTGTTATTTTCTGCAATCCTCTCGTCCCCAGGCTTCTGGTCACGGAGGCCCACTCCTCACAAGTGCCAGCAAAGGCCAAAAGGGGCCAGAAACCAGAGCCCCCCCAAGGGCATCTGATTTATACACTCTTTTGTAGGGCCCACAGACTCCACTCCTGTACTCCCTGAGCGGAAGCCACCTCATGAAGGATGCTTGCACCTAGAGGTCTGAGGACCAGGGAAAGCGGGATGAGAAAGAACATGCACCACTGTGGACAGGCAAGGAACGAGGTCTAGGAATTCAGTGACCCGAGTGGGCCCAAGATAGAGCTGTCCGCTTCTTCTGGGGCATGACCCTCCCCCTAGAGACAGGATGCAAGTGGGAAGGAGCGCTTCAGGTGCTGTCCGGAAAGGCTCACAGGAAAGGAAAACTCCAGCCCCAGAACCTCTGCCTGGCCCAGTCATCACTCCCAACGCTGTCAGATGAATGAGAACATTCTTGTCCCCATGAAGACTGGTTGGGACAGGGCTGAGTCCTTAAGCTCCAGCTGTAGGATTACTCACAAGAAGCCAGCAGGTGAGGCTGGTGGCCATTGGGGGAGACACACTGTGTGACTGGCCAAGCAGCAATGGAAGAGGAGACCAGCACCAAGTCTAGTTGGCTATCAGAAGGCCTGCGTCTTACATGGGGCTTTCGGTCAATAGCATTTTGAAGAAATGGAGTTCTCTTTTCTGGAAGAGACTAAATTGACAATATTTTCTAGTCTAATAAAATCAACAGCCTAGAAGGAAGTACCTGGAATTAGCTAGGAACATTTGTACTATGATATGTTCTTGGCCACAGAGTTCAGTACTCCTGAGACTGAAAAGCTTATAAATAACTTGTCACAAGGAAACCTTCCTGCCAAGAGGTGGCATCTTAATGTGAAAGGCCATGTACAGCAGCCTGCCCCCCTAAAGGCACAGAACTCTGCAACACCTTTACCTGGTCTATGAATGGCGGAGGCTCAAAATGATTTCCCTACATCCCATTTTCTTTTCCTAAGAACGAGGCAGCAATGCCCAGTGTCCTAGCCCTTCTAGGAGAATCAGCTGGCTGGCACACCAGTGGCGTTTCCCAGTATGACGAGAATGCTTCCTATAGCAGAAGTCCCTTCTCGCTGTGGTTCAGCTCCTCCCTAAGAGAGAGTGGGTTGAAATGGAAAAGAGAACCCTGTATGTGCTCAGTCAGAGTGAGCATGGTTCCTATCGCACCTGGGACCCCGAATTACAACTTCTGTTTAAGAGCACACGAAGTCTGCCAGGGCCACAGAAAAGGACAGTGGCATCCTCGTGAAAGAGAAATAACAGAGGGAGAATTAGAATGGTCCACGTCACTGGCAACCCAAACATAATGAGGCTTTAAAGGACCCGTCCTTTGATGTGACCCAAAGGACAAAGTGCCTACAGGAATCAAGCATCCCCACCAACACTGGCTCACCGATGAGAAGTAGTGCTCTAACGATGCTGGAATTAAGGACTAGTCTGTAACGGCTGCTTTTGTCTAGACTCTAGAGGATGTTAGTCAGGATGTGATAGGTGTCAGGATCATGACATCTGAGGAGGGACTTGAGGGACTAGACAAGTAGAGACCACCACCCATCCACATTTAATGATTTAATGTCCTGGGCAGGCAGGCACAGGGCAGCAGACCTCAGCTTCCATTAGCAAAAACTCTGGTTATTAGAGGTGCCCAAGCTTCAAGTAATAAAAGCATAGTTACCAAAGGCTGACTGTAGGTCAGAGCTATCTAACAGGGACGCTGGGCCAGACAGTGTACAAGCCTTGCCACTCTTAGGAGTCCATGAGTCTTATTATGGGCTGGATGCACCTCCTCCTCAGTCTCTACCCCGGCAGCCATTTCTCCCGTTGGCTTCTAAGAAGGGCAGTGTCTCTCCGCTGAGCGTGACTACCACCGCTCTCATGGTGTAAGTACAGCATTCCAAGTGTCCTCCCACACTCTGTTCCTGTCTCTAGCTGCCTTCCACCCCCGACTCCCTCCCAGGTCCCCTTGCGACAACATCACCATTCCCCATTAGGAGCAGGCGCACGAGCGGAAAAGAAAGCAAAGCCCAAGAAGCGACCTGAACAGGACCCAGACTCCCCTTCCCTTGAGAGAGGCTCTTGCTCTACACTACTGTCTGACTTGAAGAGCATTGCTCTGTAAGCAGAAAAGTGGGAGATGTGAACAACGGGCTGACCCCTAAGCCACCCTCTACCTTTGCAAGGGCAGGGGTCATGGCACCAAGGCAACAGAGTGATGATTTCCCACAATGGCCCAAAACAACTGAGGTCAAGAGCTCTGGTTCAGCTTTCATGCCGTCAGGCTGGGAGGAGAAAGAAAAGACCAGAAAGAAAAGGACCAGGAGAGCCCAAGACCATCTCAGCCTCGCAGAATGGGAGAAACAGGGCGGAGACTAGTCAGAGAAGTTCTAGGTCATCGATAGAAAAGTAAAAACAAGTCAGTCCCTGAGAGGTGAATATCAGAGCCACAATCACCTTGGACTCTATGCAACAGTGCCAGAGGCAGCCCACAGAGTAGGTAATTCCACATTCTGCCCTTTGTCCTGACACCCAGAGAGGGTCGCGGTGGCCACCACAAGACTCACCTATAGCAAAGGACAGTGGTCAGGGTAAAGGCTATGGGGCAGAGCCTTACTTATCTACACTGAAACCCATGTGGACAAAGCAGAAAGTTGGGGGTCAACACCTGAGCTTGCCGTACCCCACAAAGCTCTCTCCAGAGTGTCTGCAATGGTCACAATCATGCTTCAGCTAAAACTGTCATAAAACTTGGGGTGGAGGTGCGGGAGGAAATGTACAGTGCTGGGAGGTGACTGAGGAGCCCTTCCTTCTTCTCAAACATTCCATAGCTGGAAACGAAGAGCGGGCAGCAAATGCTGTCCCCGCCTCCACATCTGACCCCATCTATTTGGACAGTTTGCTGATGACTCTGATGAGGGCACCGTTTTCATCTTTCAGCCTCTGATTGTCGGATTTCAGTTCTGTTAACACCTGCAGTGACAGAGGGGAAGATGTGTTAGAGCCTGGCACAACGGCCCCTACCTTCCCAGGCCGAGCCAGCAGGCGAGCAGGGCCTCCTGGGACAGCTGTGCTAGAAGGTCTCACTCCCCTTTTGCGCAGGGAGATCGAGGGGGTTGATCCCTACTTACTGGGCTGGAAATGTAGATGCTGAGGGAAACACAGCTCCTCGTTTTCTGAGCCAGCAGCTGGCTATTTACAACTGTCCCAGCCCTTGAACTCGCCTGTGGCCTAGAGAAACTGGGGCTCTGCCAAAGTACACGTTTGAGGATGTAGGGGAGGGATTCAGCGAGGAGTCAGGGAGACCGTGACCTCTTCAAGGCTTCACACTCCGTAAGAAACAAAGTGCAGGCTGAGGAACAGACCTTGGCTGTTCTGCCGCGTGCCAAGACGATCACGGTCATCCTCGCGCCTTTGGTAACCAGAACCCAGCAAGGTTCTGACTGGTCGTACTAAACACGCCTATCTATTCTCAATTTTAGCACCCAGGCAACTTACAGATGTGGCCAAGACCCAGGGGGCTTTCCCCGCACTTTGGGGGATGGTGCCAGAAGGACTCTGGCAAGCAGAGGCTCATGGAAAGAGTGGCGTGAAGATCCCATCTATCACAGCCCATACCCTGCATATCAGATACTGACATCACGATTCATACCAGTAGCACGATTATAGGCATAAAGTAGCAACGAAATAACTTTACGGTAGGGGGTCACCAGGGGATGAGAAAAGTTGAGAACCACTGCTTTACACAAACTAGGTGACTTCTCTGTATGTCTATGTTTGCAGCTGCCTTGCGCCCTCACAGACGTGAAATGCTAGTGTATGTAATGGGCTTCGCCATAGCGGGGATCCTGCTGCCACTCGGTTGCCCTGTGAACCTGGAAGAGCAGGCAAGTCATCTAGAGAATTATAAAGCAAAGTTTGACTCTCTTTCCTCCAACTCAGAGCGGCGCTGGCTAGCCTCTGATGCCATCAGAATGGAGGGCTCAGAGCTCTCACCAGTACGCTCTGCTCTGTCCAGGCTGGCACCTTCCATCTCTTCTCTATCTGGGGTTTTGTTTGTCTGGGTGGGACTTTTTAATTTAAAAACTGTTTCTTTCATATGTGTGGGTGTTTTGTCCACATGTGTGTCTAGTGCATTTCTGGAACAGGAGTTACAAAGGTTGGCTGTGAGACCATGTGGTTGCTAGGAATCGAACTTAGATCCTCTGGACAAATAGCCAGTGCTCTTAACCACTGAGCCATCTCTCCAGCCCCTGAACACCCTATTTCTTAGCAGAACCCCACAAGGGTTAAGATGCTGTATCTATGGCCATGGTCTGTGTTCAGTGCTTACCGAGTTACAATTGAGTTGCTTTAAAAAAAAAAAAAAAAAGCTACAATTTGTTAGTGTTGGGGTTTGGCTTTTTTTCACATTAAGAACTCAATTCTTTGGGGGTGAACAGATGGACAAGACAATTTCACAGCTGCAGCATCTAACATCTTAAGAGACTGTAAAGCACCAGTGGTGTGCAGGAACCAAGGAAGGAGGGCACATAGACTCCATGCTCAATTGAGGTGAACAGTACTGTCTGACATTTAGCTGAAGTTAGGAGTTAAATAAGAATGTGTAAGAAAGAACTGTATAAGCATCAAGTTTTACAGAGCGTCGTATCTAACTCTCCAGACTTCAGCCTCTCCATTTCTGAATTTCTAGCCTGCCTATTTGCTGTTGATACCTCAGATACAATCAAGTACACGATTCTTAAATATTACCTCCTATAGCCTATGATGAGAACTGTGCTAAGGACAGGGACAGGTCCTTTGCACTACTGGCATGGCTTGCGGGCCGTAGTTTGCTTCCCTTACTGAAGGTCATGTACCAGGCAATGATGCTCCAGCGACACCATCTCTTGGTAGGTAAATGGGTTTTTGGAAACTTTTTTTCTTCTTTTTTTTTTGAGATGGAGCTTTTCTTTGTAGTTCTGGCTGTCCTGGAACTCACTGTGTAGATTACGCTAGTCTCAACATAGAGATCTCCCTGCCAAGTGCTCAGATTAAAGGCGTGTGCCACCACACCTGGCTCAAACTGGCCTTTTAAGTGTTAAGGCCGTAGAACATGCAGATGGTTTGTGTCGTCCTGGTGTGGGTGCACAGGCTGGAATCTAACGCAGCCTTCGAGTTTGGGCATGGTTCCGATTCTGTAGCCTGCCTTTTAAATCTATACAGTGGTGCTGAGGGGCGATTGAGAAAAACCAAGCACTCAGCACAGGCTTCAATCAATGCCAGTTGTTATTTACAGTTTTAATCGCTGAAAGGTTGAGATCTAATTTTGCCCTGTATCCTACACTCTCTTGAAACAAATTTGGGAGACCATAAATAACTGGGACTTTGGGGATCTCCACTTTTCTCTCAGTCAAAATTCCCCACAACGTGCGTGTGTGCATGCATGCTAGGACTGAAGCACACTAAGCACATGCTCTACCACAGAGGTACATGTAGCCTTCTTTCAGGACCTTTGAGGCTAACTTTGAAACAGTTTGGACCTACTGCCGGCTGTGCACTGCCTTCTGCCAGCGAGAGAGAGCATCTTTAGCAGGACGCTGGCTCAGCCCTTATGCTAATCTGGGTGCTACTTGCCAGCTACTGATCCTAAAGGCAAATGCTAATAGGCAGAGAAAGGACAGGCCCCAGTCAAGTCTAATTAGACTGTTGCTGACAATCAAAAACTCAGTTCGGGGAGCCGGTGGCCCTGTCACACTATCATAGGAAGGGGAAGCTACCTGTGCATGAGCTTGTCGTTCAGACCCACAGCCAGAGGAAGGTTCTAGTTTGCCAAACACACTTTCTGAGGGGTGGTTTTTCAGTTAAATAAATCCTGCTCTGTCCCACTGCTTGCCTCCTTTGCAAAGCCAACGCCAGTAGCCAGTAGGAAGGGCTCGTGTATGCGGCCTCTGTTCAGCCTCCAGGCCCGCAGATCAGGGCACCGAGGGACACATCCTGAGAGCCAGGAGATTTGTGAGGGGAATGACACAGATGTTTCAGAAAGATTGAGATGAAAGCACAGACGCACAGCAGGAGGCAGAGGATGCTTGTCTAGCCCTGCTCCAGTGGGAAGGAGGGTGTCCCTGCTAGTGGCAGAGGCGGCGTCAGGGAGGCCTGGCCCTTTCCATCCAGCACTGCTGTATGTCACTTGTGGGCATGAAGTTCCATCTGTTCCATGGCTGTGGTTCTCAACCATGGTCACATGTGCCAATAGAGGGGCTTTAGAGAAACCCACGCCCAGGTCTCAATCCACATAAGAGAGCATATGCAATGGCCCCATCCCGGTGGGTGGGCACTACTGGCTCCCAGCTGGATCTAACACGCAGTCAGGTTTGAGAACTCCGGCCCCTTGGTTACTCCAGGCCCTAACGGGATGCATTTGGTATCAGCTGACAGTCTTGTGTCAGTCCGGCAACGGCCCCATCAATGAAATAAAACTGTGTACATGTATGCACACAGGTAAATGTCCACAGTGGGCTGTCTAGGTGCATCGGAGCAAGCCCATCTGAATGCAGTCCCCAAGGGAAGAGGGGGTAACGCTGCGACTGCCACACGTCTGACACTCTGCTTGCCCGGACAGGAACCCCCGCTGCCACCCCTGACCGAGGTTCTTATGTCCGGTCACATGCTCCGCGTCCTGCTCCATCTGCAGGTAACAAAGTTGGGCAGATGCCTGGGCTCTGGCGGAAGGGACCAACAAGAAGAGTAACCTGCCTGGAGTAGCAGAGGAGGGAAGTAAGGTGGAGAGGAGGGCAATAGCTAGAGCTCCTGGGTGTCCGAGGACTCGATGGACTTGGAGAGTCTGGCCACAACTCGGGTCAGGGCCCTGTTCTCAGCCTGCAGCTGTTGGTTCATCTGCTTCAGGGTTTGGATCTGTTTTAGCTGGTGAAGGCTCTGCGGAGAGTGAGACATGAAGGGGACAGACAGGACAGGGACAGGACAGAGCAGAGGGGAAAGGAGGACAGAGAAGCTATGTGACTGTTGGGTTTTGTTCTTAGTTTGCATGCAAGGGAGGAGATGGGAACGGCAGGTGCCGAGGACCAGCCGTACAGGGAGGAGGGGCCGTACGGCAGCGGGAGGGCTGTGCCTGTGGCCCTGGAGAGCCCTCAGCAGGCTGAGGCTGGCTACACAAGCTTCCAAAACTACACGTGGACCGCTTGAGAATCAGGTCAACGTATGGCTCAGGGCCTTCTGGAAAACTCACATGCAGAACCTCAGCCTTGAGGACTCTTCCTTTGTCTCTGGGACCAAGGCTGAAGGTTTATTACTTAGTTTAAAAAATGCACTAGAGGGGCGTTGTCTTCAAGCACTTTCTGCACACAGCATGTATTGAGAAAGCCGACACCTGCCAGCTCTTTGGGCAGAACTGTCACGCGTTTTGCAGGAAGCTCAGTTAACCCCAGTTCTCCCCAATAGCACACAGAGCTTGTCTAGGGCCCTGCAGCTGCCCACTGGCTTCTACCTGCTCTGTGTAATCTATGTATCGCTAGGTTCACAGCTAACTGTGTGCTCTCTGCCCTAGTTCATGCCAAGGCTAGGAGCTGCTAAACGTGTTCAAACAGACATACGCTGGAAACTATAAATGTACAAACGCGGAGCATCATGAATGCCAGGTGGTGATGGGATTGGCTGGATCACTGCGGCCATCTAGCCTCACCTGCGCACCTGACCTGCGCACCAGTGTTGCAAATGAGTAGGTGATGGGCATCAGCGGTCTCCCCCCCCCCCATACTTGCTGTTTCACAAGGGCTTCCAAGACCTCGATAACGGGACTGCAGCACGGGCCTGCCAGCTCTGCTGCGCGCCTTCCTAAGGCACCCTCTGCACTGACCTTGAAACAGACTACCAGCTCTTGTGGAAGAGGGAACTCTCTGGTACTACGCAATGAGAAAGGATGGAGATGGAAGGTTAGTGGGGCAATGGTTTGGGAGTGGGCCAGCCAGAAGTGAAGGCAGCACGAGAGAAAACCCTGAAAAGGAGACACAAGCAGAGGCTGACTGCCAGACAGCGCTTCGTCCCCAGAAGGGCTCCCCTCCTTCCCCGAGAAGGTAGGGCCGCCAAGCAGTCAGCCCCAGGCAGCTACGGGACAGCGGACTAGGCCATCCTCTGCGGGCTGCGGGCATCTTGCCCATGGAGGGGACGGGAGAGAGAGATCGTAACGGCACGTGGAGGAGTTTAGAGACACGAGCAGGGACCAGAGTTAAGAACCACAGGACACCCCTGGCTTCTGTCCTTCATTGGTGTTGGTATCTGGCCAAAGCTTTCAGCGCACTGACTGCTGTCATCTTAAGTGGTCCTAGCCTCCCAGGGATGATACAGCAATGACCTAAGAAAGTGACTTAGGCTACCATTTGAACACAGGCGGCTGAAGGTGGAAGAACCTGGAAGCTATCGGTATGACAGACGCATGCACGCAGAGACAGTTTGGTGGACTGTCCTGTAGGAAGCAGTTATGAAAACATGCATGGCGGGGGGAGGGCGGGGGGGGGGAGGGAGGAGGGAGAGCAGAGCGTGGACGAGGCAGGAAAGGGTACTTCAGATTCCAGGAGTAGGATCCCAGAAGCAGCTTACAGGGGGACGGCTGCTGGCCTCTTCTCATGCAAAGGCCTGGGAAAGGACCGGGTTAGGTCTAGCAAGGAGGCGGAAGCAGGGCGTAGTCAGATTGGATATGGACAGACACGTGCAGAGCCAGCTCAGCTCACACGGACAGTGGAGTCTCCTGGGGAGAATCCGTACTTACCTTTCCCGGCACCGACCACGCCTACCTCCCAACCACAGAGCCCTACACCCGGGAGCGCCGCCCCTGGCTCCCATTTCACTTGACCTTTGTGTCTTGTTGGTGTTGCCTTCAAGCATCATGGGAAGTTACCCCACAAACTATACCCTACTGATGGCTCCAGCAGAGACAGCTCCTGCAGAATCTCAATGTACACGGACACAGACCGCGGAACCAGCTGCTCTAACAGACCCACATCTGATAAGGGTTCCCAGGCTTGATAAAGGTACCATTCACTGTCTTACAGACAAATATTTCAGTCACTAATCCATAGATAGGAAAGTTGTTCAGCAGAAATGGAGACCTTGAGAACTTAGACAACCATCTTTTCCCAACTCCTTTAGAACAGACACAGTAGTTTCACAACAAATTTGAGAATTTGAAGAAGGTACAGACAGATGCCTAACACTGGTAAGACTGGAAGGCTCTGATGCCCTTCTCCGCTAGTCCTGTAGAGGGAGATAGACAATTTGCAATCTGGAATATTATGCTAGAATCCAGCAAATTGTTTATTAGGCGCACTACAGTACGCAGGTGTCTCTTCTCCATTTGGCTTTGTAAGTAGCGGTAGAGAATAATGGGAACTGAGTCTCAGAACAGCCTACTTTCTGGTTTGAGGGCCAGTTAAGATCTGGCTCCACTTGATAATTAATTTTATGTGTATGGCTGTTTTGCCTGCATGTATGGCTTTGCATCACATGTGTGCAGTACCAGAGGTTGCCAGAAGAGGGCACTGGAACCTCTGGGGTTGGTGTTATAGATAGTTGTGAGTCACCAGGTGGGTGCTGGGAATTGAATGCAGGTCTACTAAATGAGCAGCCAGTGCTCTTAACCTTTAAGCCATTTCTCCAGCCTCTAAAACTATTTTTTTTTTTATTTTTTAAAGATTTACTTACTATGTTTACAATGTCCTGCTTGCCTGCATCCCTGTACACCAGAAGAAGGCACCACATCTCATTACAGATGTCTGTGAGCCACCATGTGGGTGCTGGGAATTGAACTCGGGACCTCTGAAAGAGCAGCCTGTGCTCTCCAATCAACAATTTATTTTTAAGCTTGTTGACAAGTAACTTCTGACTAGAAAGGATAAATACTTTCATGTGTTGTTATATCTACTGAAATACTGAAGAAATGAACTCATGGCCTAGTTCTGAAAGCCACTGCTTGATAGGATAAGAACATAGGAATAAACATGCAAAGGATTCAGAGCAACTAAGAACACAGAATGATGTCCGTACTTGCCAGTTTAGAATGGGAATAGAAGAGCCCAAAGTTCCCCGAGTCTCTGCAGGGGCCTGTGTGGAGGGCACAAAGGTGCACAGCCTGCCTATGGGCTTCCGGGGACTCGTGGGAGGTGTGACCTCCGACCTGGTTCACACGCTCCAGTTCAGCAGTTAGGGCCTTTGTTTCCATTCCCTGTGTCTCTTTCTCCCTACCTCTTTGGAGAAAGCATCTCATGTATCCTATGTAACCAAAGATGACCGTGAACGCCTACCCTTCTGTTTCTACCTCCCGAGTGCTGGGTTACAGGTACACTACACCAAGACTGTTTATGGGTCCTGAGGATCAAACCCAGGCCTAACTGCATGCTAAATTAAGTATTTTATCTACTAAGCTACGTTCTTAGTCCCTTTGTTTTCTTCTGAGACAGGGTCTCTGTGAGTTCAAGGACAGCTTCATCTACATAGAGACTGGCTCTGCTCTTCAGGTGCTGGGATTGCAGGTATATTTATACCCAGACATAAGCTTTACATTAGTATATATTTTTAAAATATTTACTTAAGTATTAATTTGTGTGTGAGTATTCTGTCTACATATATGTATGTGCACAGTTCCCACAGAGGTCAGAAGAGGGCATCAGATCCCCTGGAACTGGAATTCCGGATGACTATAAAATACCGTGTGGATGCTGCTGGGAACCAAACCCAGGTCCTCTGTGAAAGCAGCAAGCGCCGTTAACCACTGAGATCTCTCTCTTGCCACCCTTGCCCAGGCCATTTTGTACCAAGCATTACCGAAAGCTGCCTAACAGCAGGAAACAGATGGAACGCCCTTGTACAAACATGAAGAACTATTTGGCAATATTAACACTATGCTAAGAGGAAGAAAATACTTCTGTGAGTGAGGTGGGTTTGGAAAATTTGGAAGATGGAAAATTCAACATTGTTTCTAAGGGTACTATTCCGTCTCCTCAAGAGAATCGAACACTACTTCTACTTTTAAAGTGTTTGAGAGATAAGTAGTTATGGCTCCGAATTCTCCATGATACTACCACTCATCTATGGGTTGGTGACTAGGAAATGAGGGGCAGGACTGGAATTCCCTCCACTCTACAACTATAAGGGGTTAACAGGATTGAGTACAGGACCATGACTTTTGACATGGTTAGGCCCTGAAAATTTTCATGTGTGTGGTGGTGGGGTATACATAAATAACATCTTTTTAAGCCGTTAAAACAACTGTCAGCTGGGTGGCGGTGTTGTATGCCATTAGCCCCAGCACTCGGGAGGCAGGAGGATCTCTGTGAGTTCGAGGCCAGCCTGGTCTACAAGAGCGAGTTCCAGGACAGGCTCCAAAGCCACAGAGACACCCTGTCTCGAAAAACAAGAAAAAAAAAAAAAACAACCCAAAATAACAGTCTCTTAAAAAGCAATCCGATTGCATATCAGAGACCCTTACTGACAACAGAGGACATTTGGGGGTCTGTCTGATGTGTTCCAGGGTTTTTGCTTGCTAGCTGTAGAAATCTACATCTGACTTGGCATTACACAGCCACTGAAATAAGATTCCTGGTGAAAGGACAAAGGCTGGGCATGTATTAAGGGACCTTGGCCACACAGCGAGATGTAGGGGTGAGCTGCTACAATGTCTTAGATAGACAGACAGACAGACAGTGCTACTTTAAGCTGTTCCTTCTAGCTCCCCTCCTATAGCAATGGACTGGCACTCAAAACTGGCACCATCTATTCAAGTAGCTAAATGATGGTCATTGTTGGTCATCCTCGAGAAGAGGAAGGTGGTGAGTCCTCACCTAGGTCACGTGGAGGCCAAGCACTCTGGGATACTGCAGAGGAAAGGGCCCAGGACAGGGAATCGGCATGCACATAAATGCTCATACTGCTGTAGATGGCTCAGCTTGTGTTCCCCCTGCAAGAGCTGCACGCAGCAGGAGAGAGGCCAGAGCTCCCCTAGTGGGGACTGCAGAGTGGGGAGAATGAGCCCCAGCCCTGTGGCTGAGCCTCCCGAGGGGGAAGAGAAGCCAGCGCTTTGGAAACCTTATCAGTTGAACTTGGTCTGCCCATAAGCCAATCCGTTGCTCCTAGAAGGCCGCTGAGGTGGCCACAGAGGGTGCAGCGTGAGCTCAGAGAGCCTACAAGATGGCTGAGAGGAGGTGCTCATGTCCTCCGACAGACCGTCTCTTCCTGAGGGTGCTCAGTGGGCACTGCCAGTTAGAGCGGGCAAGCCTAGGCTCATGCATCTGGTTTAGGCTGGCGTACAGACAACACACACACTAAGTAAGACAAAGCCAATCTGTCATACCTTCATCTCCTCTTCCATCTCTGACATTTTCCGTTCCAGGGCCCGCCTCTCCTGTTTAGAAACAACGAGCTTGTTGAAGAGACAATGGGCCAGGACGCACTCTCAAAGCTACTCCCCACCTGTCCCACCACGGTCTCGGGGTCTGTCTAGACTAGCGCACTCTGCCCTGCTGCCATAGGAAGGAGCCGCCTCAAAGTCTTCTGTCACAAAACTGGAAGATACAGGGATAGCGGCCTGCTAGCAGACAAGCAGACCGGGATGTGGACTTAATCCTTGCAAGTTCAAGTTTTCAAGTGGTTGCAGGTAACTAGGACCCTTTCCCCAGAAACAAAAATCCTTTGTCGTTAGTAACACCCCACCTGCGCTCCCAGGGGACACATGGTCAGAGGGGAGGGGACAGCACTGCCTGTCAGCTTCTCCTCTCCCCCTCCATTTCTCTCCCAGCCAAGCACTCTTGATTTAGCCTGGACTCAATGACGAGGCTTCGATTAGATGAGCTACCTAGGAGGCATAGGCCAATGGGATGAATATAAAACTTAGCTTAAGAGAGATGGTAACATACTATGTCCTGAGAGTCAAATTGGAACTAGGGTTCATCATGAAATCTCACCGAGTTTCCCAATCCAAGAACATCAAGTCCCAGACAGATGTCTGAGTGCAGCTGGGACCGGGCCGGGACAGGTATCTGACCAGAATGCCCCCCCCAGACCCCCGGAACCAGAGGGCTGGTTAACGCTGACTCTCAGGTCTTAAATCAATGGCAGGGGGTCTTGATGAAAAACTTCCTCTGAAAGTGTGTATGTGCACACGCGCATGCACGCACACATTGTACCGTGGTATATGTACGCAGGTCAGAGAACAACATTTGGACACCAGTTCTCTCCTTCCACCATGGGCTCTGCTGCCTGAAGTCAAACTGTCAGACTTGCACATACAAGCACCTTTACTCGAGTCATCTCGCTGGGTACCTTTTTTCTTTGAGAGTAGGTTTTGCTATGTAGCTGTGGTTGGCCTGGAATTCACTAAGGTAGGGTAGGCTGGCCCCGAATTTGTGACAATCCTGCTCTGCCTCTCAAATTTGGGGATCAGAGGTTTGTGTCACCATGACCAGCTGAGACCTTCCTTTCTGTCTAAGGTCACGGAAAGGGCAGAAAGCCCTTAGACCTGTGTATATGTGTAAATAATCAAATATCTTACAGCTCTCTGTATGTATGCAGTTTTGAAGGCAGAAGACAGATGACTTCCCAAGACTCCTTCCCACCCTAAAACTGGTGTGTTCAAAGTAAACAACTATATGAGGAGGCCAAAATGACTGGTCATCAAATTAGTGTCCAGCCAGACCCCCTGCCTGCCACCAAAAAAAAAAAAAAAAAAACCATTAAGCAGGGAATGGAATGTGGCAGAGCTCCTGCCTTTGTAACATGAACTTTTTCCATTGGCTCCAACAACAAAGTTAGAGAGGGTCAAGAGAAGACATGCAGCAGGCGGCCAAGATGTGCATACCCGTTTCTCCAGCTCCAGCACCGACGACCGGTCAGAGGTCTTCTCTTGTTTCTGCCATTCGAACAGAAGGGAGAGGCTGGTTACTGAGGCTGTCCCATGTGTACTAGGAAGCCCAGTTTCGTTCTGGTTCACCACCAGAGAGGCATCCAGAAAGAGACAACGACTGTGAGAGACTGCTAAGCCCAACACCTGCCTTGACCAGTACCTAGGAGGGTCGCTGGTGAGTGGAAGCAAGCAAAGTCCCTGAAGTCCATCACAGGTGCTACTTGTAACACATGCTGGCTCACCTTTCCTCTTCCTTTAGACAACAAACTCCAAATACTAATTCCTTTCTTACGGACTCACCCCGCCTGCCTTCCTTCCAGTCTGGAAGGCCCCTGACCTTGTGGCGTTCTTGCAAACAGGCTCTTTCCTGTCACTTCTGCTCTGAGCACTGAGGCCATCTTCTTTCTAGTATGGTCTATGCAGGCGGTCTTCCCAGCCAGTATCACTTTTATCTGTTAACTCCACTTCTTACTCTGTTAACAAGATTTTAGTTGAATAAAAGCTTCACAACATATATTTAGATCGTCACTGATATTTTCAATTTCAGTCCTTCGGAGGAGTGAAAAGATTTGGCCACCACCTAAATAAGGTCCCGCCTTAAATCGAGGAATGGAGGGACCTGTAAGTCTCCTTTGGTCTTAAGCATTATAGCACTGGGTGGAATTTTCTCTATTCAATAGGCATTTAATGAATAAAGGATGATTATTCTATCTTGTCTAGCACAATGCCCAGACATTTGCAATCAACAGGGACATTAGGCCGGTCCTGCAGAAAGTTCCCTTCCTATTCCCTCCTTTTCTTTCTCCCTCAGTTACCGAATAGCTGAAACTAACAATAAAACTTGGGATTCTGGCTGTCATCCTAGACTTTCCCCTCCTGCTCTGAAGGTCATGGCTGTCTGCCTCTACACTGCATCTGCTGAGGCAGACAGGACAGAGGAAATTGCATAGTAGATTTTGGAGTTTGTATCTTCCTTTGTCTCTTTCCTAAGCTTGACAAGCGGGAGGATTTTGAGATTTACAAAGTTCAGAATATAAAGAACTAGTTGTTTTTGTTTGCTTCTTTAATTTTAAATTATTATAACTCCCTTGACTTTGAGTCGACCTTTTATGTAAAATGCTGCATGTGTCCATGTGGGAACTGTCTCCAAACAAATGCACGAGGCTGACAGCTCCCACCCTCTAACCCGCCCATCCTACCAAACATCTCCATTTTTGGTAAATAGAGAGGTTGTTGTAGCACCACTGTTTTCTTTCTGAGCTTCAAATAGCTTGCATTTGGTAAGTATATTAAGTGTATCCCAGCATACCTAGCAAAGCAGCTGGGTGGCAGGCAATGCTGCCCCAGGGACTAGCACAGTATAGTTCTATTGTGAGGTTCTGTGTGGGTCACGTTGTGCAGCTTGAGGGCTGCTGTGGACACCTCACAGGCTGGTAGAAAAGCAAGACCTCCATGAGCTCGACAGGCCCGCATCCATCACCAGCTCCGGCGGAGGAGAGGACCGCATTGCTTTCATGGGGCTGCCCTTGTATGTCCCCAGTGGGGGCAGCTACAGGGATGCACTTAGTTCCGTTACCACATGGAAGCTATTCAGAACCAAGCCACACTGCCCAGCTTAGCAATGCTGAGGGGAAGTGACCGAGCTCACTAAGCTCACCCTCCACTGCTGGCAGGGTTCTAATTGTGCTGGGGACTTTTCTTGTTTCACAGACGTATGTGTTCGCTGTAGGTGCCGCAGGGTCCGCAAGAGCCGTGTTTGCCCCTTGCGTATCTCACGTCAGAGGCTACAATAAGATGCTAAGCGGGCATTCAACCCCTCCCCCACATACCACATGCTCGCAACGCAACACCATGAGCCTGTAATTTCATTTCTGCTTTTGGATTATATCGCATCACCAGATTAAATAGCCACCTCTGGTTTTCATTTCATACCCTTGTAAAGAGCCCTTTCTACCTCAGTTCCGCTACTTCTGAGGTGCTTCGTCCCCGGGCATCCTGGGATGGCAACAAGTCAAGGCTTCCTTTTAACCCTGCACTAACCCAAGACAGGCTGCTGCAGCTTCCGGCTGCAGGGCTGCTTTCATGCCAGCAGCCTCCCGAGCTCTGTGTAGTTACACCAGGCCTTGCAGCAAGAGGGAGTGGATTGGTTTACCCACCCATTCTACCAGCACTTCTGCACTTTGGATCCAGGGTGGAGCCCTTCTGGAACCACTTCACTCCCGATTACACAAAGTGCGGGGTGACCTGGGGGCTTTGTTTGGGGCCCTCGCTACTTGGGTATAGTGCTCTGCTCGTTTCGCTCCAGCAGGTGCAGAGGACCAGGACAGGAGGAGCTGTCTGGTACTGACCCAGGACTGACCCGACTTGTGCTGTGCAGTGAGAAGTTATGTTGTATTAATTACTGACAATCATCAGTAAGTTGTTCAGGGAACTTAACGACCAGTTTTCAGTTGAGTTAAACAGCCACTTAACCCTAAGACCCTAACGATTACACGCTATAAAACTTTCACCTGATTGGCTCTGAGGAAGTGCCACTTTAGTCTGCCCCCAGGATACCTGCTCTGTCCCCTTATGAATGAATGACCCTGCCCCCAGGATACCTGCTCTGTCCCCTTATGAATGACCCTGCCCCCAGGATACCTGCTCTGTCCCCTTGTGAATGAATGACCCTGCCCCCAGGATACCTGCTCTGTCCCCTTATGAATGAATGACCCTGCCCCCAGGATACCTGCTCTGTCCCCTTATGAATGAATGACCCTGCCCCCAGGATACCTGCTCTGTCCCCTTGTGAATGAATGACCCTGCCCCCAGGAAACCTGCTCTGTTCTGCTTCCCCTTACCTGGGCCATCTTCTCAAGCTTGGATTTTATATCAGCTAGCTCTAGCTGGGCCTCCTGAAGTTTTGTTTTCAGTTTTTGGTTTTCCGTCAGGGCACTCTCATAGAGCTGTGAAGGGAAGAGAACCAGGTCACTGGGTGGGCTCCCATGGGCTCCCAGCAGAACTCATACTGTCTGCTCCAAGCCACCAAGGTCAGCCTGGTGGAGAAGGGGAGGGTGGTCTATGGAGAGTCACCGTTCTCTGGCGTCCAAATGGCACGGTCTGGACAGCGAGGAGAAAGCCTGCACTCAGTGGCAGTAAGGCTAAACTCTGGGAGAAAAACCAGTCACCCATTCCTTCCATGTGGTCTCTGCACTGCTTAAAGTGTGGCTTCTAGACAAAACAGACTCATTGTTTCTGGAACCAGTGTGTTCATTTCTGTCAAATTCTGCTGAACCAAAACATCAACAAAGAAAAATTTCCTTAACCAAATGTTATCTCCAACACCTGAAAGGGAATGTTTTCAAAGTCCAAACAGCAAGAAGCAAAAGAAATGGCAGGCAAGTAACTTAACTTCACTCTCCAAGCCCAGGGACATGGACAATAATGAATTTTTAAAAACTAAGACCAAAAAGTATTTGGTTGATATTCAAAACACCTTATTAAAAGCACATGTTTCTTAAAAAAAAAGTCTAACCAAGTAACTCATGGGCTCAGACACACAGCATTATACTTTTTACTCTTCTTAAAATAGTAAATTCCTTACTTTCCCCTATACTTCTCAATATTTGATTCTAGGCATGTACTTACTGCAATAAAATAATATGTACATAGTCTTGAGTGGGTAGAGAGGTGAAGGAAAGAATTAATTACCTTTTGTATCCTTATTTGGAATTTTGCTCATTTTTTTTTTTCCTATTGGGGGAAGGCGAGTGGGTTTATATATCACAAGCTAAGAAGAGGAAACCAGGAAAGAGATCCTACTTTTTTATAATCCCTGTTGCTGTCCTCTTCCACCCGGCTGGTCAGGCTGGCTAGGCGAGCCTCTCGGGCCTCCCGACGGGCTCTTGCTGAGGCGCGGTCACTGTAAGAGTCGCTGCTGGTTGGGTTACTACCTCCTGACTCCAGCCTATAAGACAAACGTTGAAGGTAAAAGTTGTTCTTGAGAACAAAGTGTGTGTGTGTGTGTGAACAAAGTGTGTGTGTGTGTGTGTGTGTGTGTGAATAAAGCCCAAGGCTAGCCTATGCCTTTTCTAGGAGGTATTTGAGCGCTCTGGCCAGAAACTTGCCTTCTGTGAATCTCTTAGCCATCATGCCAGCTCTCATGGTCATACTGCATGAGCAAGCAGGCAGCTTGGGGACAGAGGCCATCATTTGCCAAGAGTGGAACTCGCTTGAAAAACTGGTGGCTTGGACCCATGTGCTGCTTTAAACCTTGGAGCTCTCCAGTTACTTTGGAGTTGAATGGATTCCCTAAAGAGTGTGCCTTTAAGAGTCAAAGTTTCTTGGGTCTGAAGGGCTCTTGGAAGAGGATTATAATGAAGTGTCAATGAATTAGAAACATATGGGCCTGGAGAATGAGCCAGCCGGTAGAGTGGACTGGCAACTACCAGCAAGATGCTTGGGCTGGTGGGTGCACAACAGGTTTGCTGGAGTCAAATACACTCAAGTGGCCCATTTCCTCTCCTGTATCCATAGCAATAGTTTCCTACACCTTCGGGCAAGCGAGCTTCTAGAGCTCCTAGCACTGCTAAGAGTGTCAGGTCTGAAAAGTCTCTTGCTAATTACCAGTTTAGTGCTGGCCTAGCCCTTCACTCCAGCCTCTATTTTCTTTGCTCACTAGGAGTAGCACCTATCAAAGTGCTGTGTACAAACCAGACTTGCAGAGCACTAACCCCGAACTGCCTGGTTTGCCCCATCCCGGCTGGGAGACGGCGTCTGGTCTCTGCACAAGCTGTTGGCAGAGCTGGAGGAGCTGAAGTAAGGCAGAGGGCAGTAACTGCCCTGGCCAGGGCGGTACAGCGGTAAAGGGAGCTGGGGCCGCTTTTAGACATGCCAAGACTCATGATCTTCTCACCCTCTCCACCCCGTTCACGGAAATCTTTGTACTAATGATCTTTTTCCGACTACAAAAGCAATACATTAAGTGATACCCCCATAATCTTGCCCAAGAAATAACTGCCATTAACAGTAGATTTCACATACTTCTGGGATGTCAAATACAAAAGTGTTAAAAAAAAGTTCCCATAAAGTTAGACAAGACCTACACTGTCTAACTCCTACTCTCTGTATTTATGATTCTTTGGACATCTTTCCATGTAAATAAATATATACTTCCTCCTTAAAAAATGACTATATATATATATATAATGCATATATACATATATATATTTCATTACACAGTTATCTGGTAATTTAACCAAATGTCAGGTGATAGAAACATTGCTTTCAAAATGTTTATCTATTAGTATATCTATTAATAATACTAAAATGTGCAGATTTATTTATAAGTCTTGGTGCAGTTGGCCATTACCTATTTTTGGTGGTGGTTGTTTTCTGTTTGAAATAGGGCCTCACACTTGCTATGAGGAAAATGGTATTCTTATGGTCCTATTTTAGTATCTTAAACCATGAGGGGCATGTGCAGTTATTCAGCACTGTTGTTTTGGGATGGCGAGTCATACTTTGTTTATTAAGGCCAAGAGATTTCTCCGTTCTCTTACCACACCCCGGGATAATGCTCTTACACATTAGGGCCTTTTACAGATGTCTAATATGTCTCACATGGTTTTATTCTCTCTTCACATTTTATCTGTTTATAGTAACTCTTTATTTTTAATTAAAAAAACCAATAGTCTCTTACTTTTATTTAGTTTTGAGACAGGGCTTCATATTACCAAAGTTGGCCTAGAATTCCCTACGTAGTCCAGGCTGGCCTTGAACTCTTGATCCCTTCTGCTTCAGCCTTCCAAGTGCCAGGGTTAGAAGTGTGAGTCACCATGCCCAGCTATTTGCAGTTATTTTTTAATAGCAATGATGTAAAATTATATGTAATGGAACTTGACAATTTATAATCTTTTGGGAACTGTTTGGGACGGTGTTTTCTATATATAGATAATAAAATATTATCTTGTACTATTTTTGTAGAACAGGCCTTTCTCTTTTTAAAAATGTAACTATTTGAAATATATTTCTGTTGTTTTTTTAGTATAGAGGAAGGATGTATTTTCTCAAAACAAACTAATCAATAGTTAATTTTCTCAATCAGTAAGTCTACAGCCACTATGAGATGAAAATTCACATTACACACAACTTTTAAAGGTGCTCTGAATTGTTTTGCAATCTCTTTGCTTATTACTTTTTATACATTTACTTATTTATTTATATGTATGTACATGAGAGCGAAGGCCAGAGGACAGCTAAGAGGAGTTGCTTCTTCCCATCTACCATGTGGGTCCCAGGATCCCATTCGGTTGCCGGGCGCATGGTAAATACCTCTACTAGTTGAGCCATCTCACCCTCTGTCTTTATTCTTGAATAATACTTCAGTATTTTAATCATGAAAAGTTTATGCTACATTTTGAAGTTTGTAGAGAAAGTGTCCTTCAATGTGGCCATTGTAACATAGCTGAGTTCTCATAAGATGAGTTATAGCAAAATACTACCCTTTGACTAAGTCATTGTATGTTACTTTATAGGTAAATTATTTATTTTTGGCTGGTAGTTGGTGAGAGGGTAGACAGAAAAAGAATACATAAGTCTTAGCATGTGTTAACAAGGTAGAGCGAGTTTTAACTTCCAAACAGGTTCTGAGATCAGTTTGCTCTGTACCCTCCTGGAGCTACATCTGCTCTCTCTACTCTGCCTCCCCTTGATCTCTCCATCCCAGAGATAGCGAAGATGGCGTGCATTTAGTTCCAAAGGTGCTATTATTTTTATTTTCTTCTTTAGGGAGATCAGTTTTGTACCTTAGATATCATGTGAAAAATTATAGATGATCTTATTTATTTATCTATCTACTTATTTATTTTAGTAATTGCAAAACAGGTTTTTAGATCATGTGATGAGCTATTCACAGGCACCATTTAGATATGAGACATACGGTTGGGTTCACTATGAAGTGACAATATCATCTCAATCTCCACTCAGGAGTCCACTTGGCAATAACCCTGTTTTCTAGACTGTCAGACTAGGTTAACTGCCCCTTCCCTGCACCCACAATCCCTGCCTGCACCTCTAAATGGCCCTTCCTGTACCCTCCCGAAAGGATATTGCTCCAGTAGACTGTAAACTAGCTGCAGGCAAGGTCAAGGCCTGGACGGATGCTTTAGGACAACTTGTGAGTTGGAAGTGTACAAGGTGAACTGGGAAGCAGCGTGTCTGGTGGCACAAAGGTGAGTTGTAATACTGGGCAAGAGTAAGTCTGGATTATTGTGGTGGCTGCAGAAACGAAGAGGGCGATACAGAACACTACTCAATATTGCATGGCACTAAATTTAACTAGACGTGCATTCACTCACAAGAATTAAGCATGCATATAAAACAGAATTCTTACCTAGAAAGTCTTTCATGCTAGAGAAAGGAGACAAAAACAAAAAAGAAAAAGAAAATGGCATTAGCAGGAGGCTAATTTACATTTCCATTCATAAATGTACTTTTCAAATCTGATGGCTCAACCTCACAGTGGAGATAGGAGCCGCTCACACAATGTGGGGAGGGTAACTGGACCGACTGCGCAGAAGGCCACTCAGCTCTAACTCACTCTTCCGTGCATTCTGCCTCACCAGATCTGAGGCTCTGGGAGACAGAGAGCATCCTTTCAAACTGGCAGACCCCCAAAACACGAAGCCATCAAATGCTTCCCTCTCCACCAACTAGACAGCCACGCTGTGCTGCGGGAGTGACCGTCGTTTGCTCTCGGGTGACATCGAGCCTCTTGAAGTGTGCTACTCATCCTATTAATTTCCTCCACTTCCCAAACACTGCAGTTTACAAACACTGAGAGTCAGGTCAGTTCCTGGCTTCCACCAAGATCCTCAGTAAAGGTAAAGGAACCAGGGAACTGTGGGCAGGGGGCGAAGTCCCTTCCTAGTCCCTAGATGCTGGAAAGAACGTAAAAAGAATAATAAAGTATTTTGAGATCTCAGAAGGAAAGAATTTCATAGATGCGAGCTATAATCTTCATCCTTGCTTTAAAAAAGCAACATTGACTATCTGCATCTCCCATTTTTAAAAAAGTTATAAATGACCTTTGCCCTTCCATCCTTTCATAAAAAGGGAACTCATTCACTTGATTTATGAGTTATTTACTCCCTCCGTTGAGATGTGAAGAGTCAGACAATAGGGAAGAAGGAACCCTCAAACGCCGAGCAGCGCTCACTGTACTGCTCTGTTCAATCTCTGCAAGTCACTGTTGGGCCAGCCCAGGCGTCCAGCAGTCTGATAGTCACACCCTCAAGTTGTGTTGTATGGGGCCTCAGCGCATCTCAACGGCGGCTTTCTACGGCGCTCCTCTTCAGGAGCTGTACTTAGGATGGTCACAAGCACACGACCTAACGGCTGTGGGTCCTTTTTCTGAGGCTGTGGAGTGGAGATGTCTTCTATGGGTCTTTAACGAGTTCCCAGGCAATTGCTGAATACACGTGCTGTCGCGGCACAGCGTGGAGGGCAGAGGTGAGCCTTTAGGAGACAGCTTTCTCCTTCTTCCATTTGGGTTCTGGGAACTGAACTCATATCATCAGCAAGTATCTTTGTAAAGATCTCAACCTAACAAATATTTTAAACGTGGAGACAGGGCCCTGCGGTGATACCCTGCTTGTACAAATAAAGCCTGTCTGAAGATCAGAGGAGGGAGCTTGCCACCAGCTAACCACAGAGGCCTGGAGGCCTGGAGGTCTGCACAGACAGACAGGAAGTGAGGTGGCGGGGTGGAGGAGGATGTGGGGGGGCACAGGAACTTGCGCCCTTGTCTGCTGAGATGCTAATGCATTAAAGGTGGCTGTGGTTGCTCCTCCTCCTCCCTGACCTCTCAGCGTTTCCCCCATATCTGACTCTGGGTTTTTATTCATCAGACCAATTAAGAACTCCATTTATAGGTCCCATTCTGAGGTCAGAGGGAAACATTTAGAAAAGTTTATGGTATATCTGTAATGTTCTCATACCATAGACTTTTTTTTTTTTTTTTTTTTTGGAATTCTAAAATTTAGAAATCTAGAATTATGACTTTTTTTTCTTTTCTTACATTTATACATCTATTTTTGTTGTCCTGTTTTCTTTTTTGTTTTCAGGGTGTGGCCTCAAACTCGAGTGCTGGGATTAAAGGTGTGAGTGACAGCCAGCTATAACATACTTATATACAAATCATACTGGTATCTGTGTCCCGTAAGTTCATGGACCATCAACATTGTCTAAAGCTTTTCTCTTCAGCATTAAAAATGACACGAACAACATCAACAGCAACAACAACAAAAACCAGGGCTCAGCAGATAAAGGCACTTGTCACTAAGTCTGACTACCTGAGTCGAATTTCACACCGTAGAAGGAGAGAACCAACCCCAAAAGTCATCCTACGGCTTCTACATCCACACTGTGGCGTGTGGACGCACACATACACAATAAATTAAGTTTTTTCTTATCTCCTCTCTGTGAAGCAGTGAGACAGTGTCCTAAGACCTGAGCATATTACTCTATGGACAGTGCCCTGAGAGCTGAGTATGGTGGCACAGGTCTGTAATCACAGCCATTCAGGAGGCTGAGGCAGGAAGATCACATGACTAGAGGCTATGTGGCTTACACAGTTACAAAGCCAATCTGGGCAACTTTGTGAGATCTTGTCTCAGAATAATAAAGAGCAAAAAGAACTCGGGGTATACAGCTCAGTGGAGCACCTGCTTAACGCGTGAGACCCTACCTTCAGTTCTCAGAATGGGTGGGGATAAGAGGGAAGAGCTGAACTGAACTGAGAAGTGAGGGTGTTGGCTGTGCCCATTCACTAGCTCTGTGGGAATCAGCCTTACAGCATGTAGGTGAGTTCAAGTCTACTGCCCAGGAAAACGTGAGCTGGGACTTACCAAACACTTGTGCATAACTGAGACTGAACGTCATACTGTCAGATGTGAAGAGACTGTTTAGTACTTCAAGCCTATGGTATGCAGCAGAGTTCTGGAGGAGGGGCTCAGAGAAGGAGGCCTAGCTGGCTGCACGACAAGCCAGGAGAATACTGCGATCACACTCACGAGCTTGTCTGGAGCACGGGGGGCGAGGGGGGGGGGGCGCATGTGAATGTGTGCTGTGGAGGTAAGCAGTAATTCTGGGCTCCAGTTAGGAAGCTTTTTACAAAGATGAGATCTGAGATGATGATGGTAGAGAAATACATGTATACGCAAGACCATAGTTTCAACAGTGACTGTTACAGTGAATGCTTTGAAGTCTTACCTGAAATTCACCCCCATCTTGTTCCCAGTTAACATACTTAGTGTTGCCAAGGCCAAGCATGGTTAAGTACTAGTAACGAGAGCTGGCTGAATTAATGGTTCATGTTTCTAAATGTGATGTCCTTGGCTGGCTCTGAGGTCTACTTCCTGCTCTTCTACCCACGAAGCTTAGGCGGGTACCACTGTCCACTGTGACCACTGGGAGGGGATGCTGACACTCGTTAGTGACTGAGGTTCACTCAGTGCCTGTGATCCAGGGACAGCCCTTAGAGGACAGCGTGCAGTCTCTCCGGAGACAGATCTAGGCTTGAGCTTAGATGTGAGGAGTGACGTGTTTATAACTGAACAGACTGGCTTTGCTTTTGTCTCTCTGTGTAACAGCCTGGCTGTCCTGGAACTCAGAGATCCGCCTGACTCTGCCTCCTGATGCTGGGTGTGGTCTGGGTGACTTTGGGCTTTCTTTTGCTTCATTCTAATGGAACCTGAGCATTTCTACAGAGTGTGCACAGACAGGGTCTGAATAACTTTCCCACAAGTCGGGTCTGTTTAGCTGACTTCATTTTTACTAAAATTTGGTCTCTCAATTGGAAATACCCACCACCCCCGCCCCAGGTCTTTCTTTGTAAATATTCTGTTGTAGACTAAGATTCAATGACACCTTCAGCTCTCATTTCTGCTGGGTGAACTTTGGCACCTACCTCTACAAGATTAAAAAGTGTCTTGCCCCACTAAAAGAGCGAAATTAGAATTCTTTACTATTTATCAATCTTGGCAACTACATATAATAAACATGCTAACATTTCCATTCATTTACCCCATAAGAATGACATGTAATTAACTTTTTTTTTTCATTTAGAATGTTCTAGAATCATGATAAAATACTCTCCATCACACCCAAGGAAAGTTCTCAACATACATAGTTTGGCTGGTATACCATACAGTCTCCAATTAGGATGTTAATGAAAATGCAAATACATAAAAATGGAGAGATAGCTCAGCAGTTAAGAGCACTGACTGCTCTCCCAGAGGATCCTGGTTCAATTCCCAGCACTCAAATGACAGCCTGCAACTGTCTGTAACTCCAGGTCCAGGGGACATGGCATCCTCACACAGACATACATGCAGGCAAAACACCAACACACATAAAATAAAAATAGATAAATGATAAAAGAAGACCTTTTTTAAAAAATGGAGAACCATAAAGAATAGGTTAGTACTGTCAAGAAACAGCCAGATTCCATGGGGTCTAATTTTCCCACAGATGGGAGAGCATATGAGTAAGGTAATGCCCGTGGTGTGAGACTTGTGATGGCCACAACAGTTCTTGCCCCTCAGTCTTCCTACAGATGCTTCTGACAGATGGAAGAGCTCTCTGTTAATCCCTGACTGTTCCCAGAACACCCCCTGTAGGTTTTACCTGGGTGCTGCACTCAAAGGCTAGCTCCAGCAATGCCCTGGGGTAATCAAGCCAGCCATTTAGAGGTCTCAGAAGTCAGTGAGATTCGGGTGCAGCAGAGGTAAAATAGTTACCTCATTATAAACAGACTTCTAAAGGAAATGCTGTTTTCTTTGTTAAAGAAAAGGCTTCCTTTAAGTTTACAGCCTAAGAGAGTAGGCTTATAAACTACAAGGTAAGACCCGGAACATACAGGGTTTAACGTACACTGTCTAACTCCTGATAAAACAGCTTAGGCTTCTGAATAATGCTTCCGACGTCATTTTTCACTAATGAACACCTCTTGAAGATACTGGTTTGCTTTGCTTCTCGACATTCCAGATAATCGGAGGGTTGGCAAAAACAACAACAACAAACACTGCTTAGACCCAGGGAGGAAAAGCTTCAGGCACATCGGGTAAGGGGTGGAGTGCCTGACTGACACAGGAGACCAAGTCAACTTTTCCTCTTCTTCCCGCTGTCACTCAAACTACACGGATCTCAACTGTTAAGTTAACGTGGTTTCTCACTGTAGAAAGCTGCCTGCCAATCCTACAGAGGAAAGTCTAGGGCTGAGTGAGCTGGGGGTGTGCTTGCTTGCACAGTCCAAGGGGACAATGAGCGAGGAAGTGTCACGGGAGAGGCAAGCCCAGCACAGAGGAGGGCGGGAGAGGGGACGCCCTAGCCACAGAAGTTAATGCCTC